CGGCATCAAACCCAGCATATGCAGCCTCAGAGATCCCTGCAGGCCCGCTGGACGTGTTTAGTAATTTCAATAAACATAGGAGCACAAAACTTGATGGTTTTTCAAATTTTTCCTCACTGTTGAGGCCTCCTCCAAAACCAGGACAAGTTTCGAGGCCAGAAAAAGGTTTGGCTTTCTGTGGCTAAAAATGAAACTTAGTATTTTGTTCTTTTGCTATTTCCTTAACTAGCTTTACAACAGCAATATATTTTCATGACGCAGTTAAGAGCTCAGCTGCATCTTCAGTGGATGACCTTGAGGAGTTTGCAATGGGTGGTAGCGTGCATGATAAGGCTAGTAGATACATGGAGGCTGAAGACGCTCCAAAAAAATCTCAACTGAAGGGTGAAGATGATCGAGAGTCCATTTTGGGTGCAAGTTATCGATCAAATAGGGTACCAAAATCCAGGGCAACAACTTTGGTAAATATCCAGATATGAAGGGCATAACTCCTGAAAAAATGGTGGATGGTGTAAATTGTGTAATTGTGCTCCTTGTCAGGATCCCCTGTTTGATGCAAAGATACAGAACAAAGAGCAGAAGACATCTACCACGGTATCATCCAGTGCAAAGAAGGTTTCACCTGCCCCTATGAAAATTATGGTAGATGACCTATCTTCAATTTTTAGAGGTAACTGATGAATTAACCTTTTCATTCTGTCACTGGTGAATTGTAGCATGTCTTATTGATGCCAATATTTTCCATTATTTTTGCTTATAAAGCTGCCTCAGTGTATGGAGAATTTGAGGAGGTGAAAGGGGAAAGTGAAGAAACACGTAGAGCAACACTGGGACGTTATCAAAGGACCCAAGACAGAGTGGTGTGTTCCTCTCCCTTTTATGTTTATGCTCTAATGGACCTTTTATCCTTTTATTTTTCTATTCTTCATACTATGCAATGCTGAGGAAATGTTTGTGATAGAAGGGTGTGAAGACATAGGATGATAGCAAAAAAGAGGCAAATCCAAAAGCAGTTAACAATAATAAATCCTTACTTACACTAGCTAAAATTTGTGACCATGCAGTTTAATTTCTGCAAATTTCATTCAGACTAGCTGGCTAGGCTACATAATTTGAGAGTAACATGAGCGTTATTTTTCATTACACCAAATTAATTTGGCTTCATTTAAGCTTGATACTTGTGTAATAGAACACCTTTGTATCTTAGTTTGTTTACACCTGAATTGGTGTCTCTGGAGCCTTTGAGGCTTAGCTGCATCCTCTGAATGTCTGATATGCAGCGTGTGAAGTAAGATCAGGCAACTTTCACATTGGCATTTCTAAGACTCTTGATATTGTTGAATTCAGATAACATTTTCTTTTGTACAGTACCACATATATAGTTCTTGAGTATTGTTTGTCAGGCAAGAGCAGTTTCTGATATAAACAAGCATGGTCTTCAAACTCAGCATGAGCAAGAAGAGAACCATGTAAGTAGTTTAGCTTATGCATCAATTGCAAGTAATACTTTACATTCTTTTGCACTTTATTTA